CAATCGCACGTTCCTGGTGTTGCCTGATTTTCGTGGTGCTGAGTGCCGTTTGAATATTAGAGCCACGGTCTGATTTCGCTTGGCGTTCTACCACAAGTGAAGGAGACAGCGAAAATGGGAATTTGCTCGCTTGTTATTCGGCCACCATTTCTTCTCTTAGAAACCACTGTTTTGTCCTGGCATAATATTGCTTCCAATCATGTAATCGTAGCGTTCATTTGCGGCTCAACTTCTTCTGCTGATCGGTCACACCTTTGGCCGAGGAGAAGTAAACATTTGACTAATGGGTTTGCCAAACACGCAGTACAAATCCATAGGTTGTCTTGGGAGTTGTTTCGAATTCTCATGTGTGGTTGGGACATATTTTCGTACTTCGATTTGTACCACATGAAATAGTGTAAGCAAGGTATACCATATTATAATATTCAGTTGACACGTTTGACACGGTCACAACGATTGGCGATAAGCTTTACGTTATCGCTAAGTGAAACAGAATGCTTAGCCTGCGGCAACCTCGTAGGTAATGCGAATTAGTTTTTTCAAACGGAGCTAGGGTTGAACTATATTCCTTTAAACTTTTGTTTCCACAAAGGATTTTAGAACGCTTGTAGGAAGTCCAGAATTTTTAAAATTTTATTATTGTGTTGATGCGCTTTACCAACGAATCCGTCAAAAACGCAGAAGTGAATCCGAAATTAAAACGAAAAAGAAAATCCAAACGCCAAATAGGAACATTTTAGGGCTGATAAATTATTGTCGGGTTCATGTAAGCTAAATGTGACTGCTGAACATGACCATTCCCTAGTTATTCGTTCGCTTCTTAGAACGAAATCGTGGTCTTGTTTACAGTCGAAGAATTGTGTGCATTCGCCACGCAAGTAATTATGTAGGGAAGTGCAACACTTCTACATGGTAAGTGGCACGGTGCATCCTCATGAATTCTAATGACAATGATCCCCTGACGATTTGTGTCGTTGACGTTACGCTCCAGTGCCAGAGCACTGTCACTTCATTCACAGTGTTTGACAACATGCCAAACAATACAGCAGTATGATTGCGAACGTGACAATCCGAGCATCCCCACACCATTTGATAACTTACAGATATGCTGTGTTTGGTTGTGTGTAGTAGAGAATGTGTCCAAATGTGAACTGGAAACATGCAAGCTGATTATTTGTTTCAGCACAATCACAGGAAGCGGCGAACCAGGTGCAAGTGGAACTGCAACCCGAAGTTGCACCCGAAGCACCCGCAGAATCCGTGGACAAGACTGAAACTGAAACGCAACCCACAGCGCAACCTGAGACGAAGGCGGATGTTGAGGCGGAGGTGGCACAGGAACCGGTGAAAGTACCCGAAGAGGAGGCTGTTGCCGTACCCGAGCAGCAGTTTGCAATCGGTACGTTGAATCCATTCCAGTTGTTGTTGTGCCTCATGTTACCTTCACGGGCACACATTGTTGCGCTAAATTGATACATTGCTCCAAATCTACTGTAGACATTCCACTGAATATTAGTCGCACGAGGATTAGAATTGCGTGAGAACGTATGCGTAGCACACCTTTTTATTTGTTTGATGGGAATTATTTGTTCGGTAACACCACCCGCACAACATTTGCAACCGTTTCAGCTTCTGCTCTTTTGCAAGGTGGCGAATCCCATTGACATATTTGGAAGCCCGATATTGAGCTTGGTCCAGTGCATTGATGTCGTGCTTTAGTCACGGTGCCAGGTTTGTTCTTCGTATTCAACGTGGATGCGAGCGGACGCATTGCGCGTCTATCTAGAGATAAATGTGTCCATTTGTCCGTGTGCTCGTCGCAAGAGCCCGACTTGTCGGTTACCAGTTTATGAGGCGCATTCGGATTGCTTGGGACAACCAAAGTTACGCTGAACCAGCACGCCAAGTTCGCTTTCGACAGATGGCGGCTGCAGTACTTGCGTTCGTACCTTTTGGGAATAGGTACTCTGGTGTTGTAGGGAGAATACGTTATATGTGCTCACATTGAACTGCAGCAAATTTCGGGTTGACCACTGACGCACCACACTGAAGCCAATTACGATTGGCTTTCGCTTGATTCCGGAGTCATAGCTAGATATATTCAGAAACAGAAGGAAATTTAAGATTATTTTCGTGCTAGGTCATTGATTAATGCCAAATCAATCGTGGCCCTAGAAGTGAGCCTTGGGACACACCAAACTCGATGGGTAGGGGATCACATATGGAACTCCGAACGCTAAACCCTAATTGTCTTTGCAGGAGCAGTGAGCTGATCCAGCTCAAAATAGAGTCACCGAGCCCTTAATAATTGCGCTTGCAATAGGGAAGCGACTGATGTAATCCATCGAATGCCAACCATAAATCTACCTAGACGACATCAACGACATCTCCAGCGTCAGCTTACTCGGTCCAACTACTCCGCGCCACTGATAAAATTGTAGTCCATAATTCTTGTCGATGAGAGCCGTGTTCCTCGGGAGCAGTACAGTTAAAATGGATAACAAACCCACGCATCTGCAAGGATGGGTTCCATGAACTTGGACCAAGCAGGGAGAAGAGACGCTGGGCGGTAGTCTGAATGCTCATTCCTGCTTCGCGTTTGTAACTCGGACTTAGTATTTCAAGCTGCTACATCGCAGGAATGTGGTTCTGGTGTAAGCCGCGCTAAAAACACTGGGCCAGTGGGTTTAGCAGTTGTTTTGCGGCTGTTCCCAGTGCCTCTAGGCCGATCGTTTCCAGTCCGGTGGAGCTATGGTTGTGATGAAACGTGCAATTCTGCCAGATAGCTTCGGCGGTGAAACATATGTGAGATTGTCCTAGAGGCGGGAAAGCAGCCGCTGGACGATGGTCTGATGGTGGGATCCTCTGAAATGTGGGAGCATATTGCTTTCACAAAGCGATTGCTGCTTCCATATCTGTTCTACTTTAGCCATCATCCGTCCGGAGTGGTGAAATTATCTGCCTCCCCTTACGACTGCCACTGACATACTTGTACAATAGCCTGTAGTTAGCGCTGAACATTTTCACCGTATTTCGCTGATTTGCGACTTTGTCATCTCTGTGGAGTTGAGTGCAGTGGTTACGATGGGTGATATATTTGTCCCAATTATCTGAACTTGATCATGATCTATACTCTTGCCAGGCTGCGTTGCGTACAATCATCCATATCCTCATTCTGGTCCTCAAGAAAGAAACGCTGTATGGCCGATAGCAAAGAATTGTCTCTGACGCATCCGTGACCATTTGATTGAATTTGTAGACGAAATCGAGCCAAGCGATTTCCTGGTGGCCGTAAGCCAGGAACGACCAAGTTGTTGCACTGCCGAGCTCGGCTAAGCAATCGCAGCGCTTAATGTTGTGTACCATCACGGTGCTCCGGTGGAGATAGAGCGCAAAGCAAATGAAGTGGAAACCGATGAATGCACCATCACTGCGATCCAAAGGGCAGTCTACTACCAGTGCATCAATCATATAATCCCCTTCGTTGAACACCAGATAGAACAAAGAGGGTCTATTGCTGTGCTGAAAGAAGTGTACATAACAATGTGCGTGTAAAGTGGAACACTGGTTCTGCGCTCTTGCAGATCTGCTTTGCATAGTTCGCTTATTGTAGCGGAGGCATCTGAACAGTGTACACTGCAATCTCCCATGATAATGATGTGAGTGTGTTTGCGGTGTAGACTGCATCTTACAGTTGCCGCAAGGTTGCAGTTCATTTCCGGTGTGGAGTTTGGGTGTGGTATGTCAAATCTGCAAGCCGGCGTCACTGCCATGTAATTGCAGTTGGCACCAAAGAGAATCGGCGAACTGTGAATCTGATATCACAATGGCCTCGCATTCAGTTTGCTTAGGTAGTAAAGAATTACTTCTCCATTTTCGCGAACATATCGTATCCAATGAGTTACATGCTCTTCAGTGAATCCGCAGCGTCTGGCGTTTCTTTGTGTAACCAGTTCTCCCTGATGCCGATGATATCGTGTGGCTTCGAACGTTGGCATCTTCCATTCGGCTAACTTACTGAAACGACCGTTAGCACCGGTATGAAAGCAGTATGGCTGCTCGGAATTTAGTATCTCACAGCGAGCTGAAGGTGTCAAGTGTGGTAGAATGCCGACCGAGGTGAAGTCGTTCGTTAGGCGTATTTCATGGGATGATGATAACGCATCATCCGCAAATTGATTTGGCTAACGTATGTCCCATTCCTCTTCCGGACATACTGCAGAATTGCATGACCGAGCGGTGAAGTGGTACTACTGCGTAACCGCTGGTAGGTTTTCTTTCTTCGAGGAGACTTATGACTGGTGATTGGAAGGTTCCAGCGGTTCAGATGGAGAGCTGTACCGATATCTCCTCCAACGTTTTAACAATTCCCTTGCTTTTTTCACTGATAAACCATGAGTTTTAGGATTCTATTTCAGCCTTCGCTGTAAGTTGGCGAGTGACACGCTATACAAACGATTGTGCTCAGAAATCCAGCTTGCTGGGTCCTTCTGAGATGTTTCTTTCCGATTGTCGCGTGCTCCGATGGGTCCGCAGGGTAGATGTGTACTCTACCGGACCCGTGTTTTCGCGCACTTGCAGAGAGTAAAATGCAATTCTACATCGATGGCGGATTGTGGTGTTGATCTGACGAACCCAGCTTCGTCAAAATGTGCAGAGTTCGGGTGAGGAGTAATTCTCCCTGGGTTGGTGGGTTTGGCTTTTACTTTCAGCAAAATTCATAGTCAGTTCCGCTGGCATTGTTCATCAGACAACTTGCCGCGCAATGTGATAGCGGTAGATTCGGGGACATATGTGAACACAACAGTCAGGGCGTTATTATCTGAGCCCTTTTTCGTTGAGCTACATGCTCGGCTGATCGTTAGTCCTGGCTTTATGCCAAATGATGACTGTCCACTGTTGGTCTCTCTAATCTCGTTGGCGGTGTTTGCAACAGAGGAGACACTAAATGTAACAGCCCGAGTAATTTGAGCAGCAAACTCTGCATGTGTGTTTGAAGTCAATCCTTATTCGAACTCGACCCGAGACCCCTGTGTTACAGTGCAGTGCACTCGTGTTCGGCTGCCCAATCCGTGCCAATTGTAGAAATTATTAAGACCGGCTGCATTTGATCAATCGCACGTTCCTGGTGTTGCCTGATTTTCGTGGTGCTGAGTGCCGTTTGAATATTAGAGCCACGGTCTGATTTCGCTTGGCGTTCTACCACAAGTGAAGGAGACAGCGAAAATGGGAATTTGCTCGCTTGTTATTCGGCCACCATTTCTTCTCTTAGAAACCACTGTTTTGTCCTGGCATAATATTGCTTCCAATCATGTAATCGTAGCGTTCATTTGCGGCTCAACTTCTTCTGCTGATCGGTCACACCTTTGGCCGAGGAGAAGTAAACATTTGACTAATGGGTTTGCCAAACACGCAGTACAAATCCATAGGTTGTCTTGGGAGTTGTTTCGAATTCTCATGTGTGGTTGGGACATATTTTCGTACTTCGATTTGTACCACATGAAATAGTGTAAGCAAGGTATACCATATTATAATATTCAGTTGACACGTTTGACACGGTCACAACGATTGGCGATAAGCTTTACGTTATCGCTAAGTGAAACAGAATGCTTAGCCTGCGGCAACCTCGTAGGTAATGCGAATTAGTTTTTTCAAACGGAGCTAGGGTTGAACTATATTCCTTTAAACTTTTGTTTCCACAAAGGATTTTAGAACGCTTGTAGGAAGTCCAGAATTTTTAAAATTTTATTATTGTGTTGATGCGCTTTACCAACGAATCCGTCAAAAACGCAGAAGTGAATCCGAAATTAAAACGAAAAAGAAAATCCAAACGCCAAATAGGAACATTTTAGGGCTGATAAATTATTGTCGGGTTCATGTAAGCTAAATGTGACTGCTGAACATGACCATTCCCTAGTTATTCGTTCGCTTCTTAGAACGAAATCGTGGTCTTGTTTACAGTCGAAGAATTGTGTGCATTCGCCACGCAAGTAATTATGTAGGGAAGTGCAACACTTCTACATGGTAAGTGGCACGGTGCATCCTCATGAATTCTAATGACAATGATCCCCTGACGATTTGTGTCGTTGACGTTACGCTCCAGTGCCAGAGCACTGTCACTTCATTCACAGTGTTTGACAACATGCCAAACAATACAGCAGTATGATTGCGAACGTGACAATCCGAGCATCCCCACACCATTTGATAACTTACAGATATGCTGTGTTTGGTTGTGTGTAGTAGAGAATGTGTCCAAATGTGAACTGGAAACATGCAAGCTGATTATTTGTTTCAGCACAATCACAGGAAGCGGCGAACCAGGTGCAAGTGGAACTGCAACCCGAAGTTGCACCCGAAGCACCCGCAGAATCCGTGGACAAGACTGAAACTGAAACGCAACCCACAGCGCAACCTGAGACGAAGGCGGATGTTGAGGCGGAGGTGGCACAGGAACCGGTGAAAGTACCCGAAGAGGAGGCTGTTGCCGTACCCGAGCAGCAGTTTGCAATCGGTACGTTGAATCCATTCCAGTTGTTGTTGTGCCTCATGTTACCTTCACGTGCACACATTGTTGCGCTACATTGATACATTGCTCCAAATCTACTGTAGACATTCCACTGAATATTAGTCGCACGAGGATTAGAATTGCGTGAGAACGTATGCGTAGCACACCTTTTTATTTGTTTGATGGGAATTATTTGTTCGGTAACACCACCCGCAGAACATTTGCAACCGTTTCAGCTTCTGCTCTTTTGCAAGGTGGCGAATCCCATTGACATATTTGGAAGCCCGATATTGAGCTTGGTCCAGTGCATTGATGTCGTGCTTTAGTCACGGTGCCAGGTTTGTTCTTCGTATTCAACGTGGATGCGAGCGGACGCATTGCGCGTCTATCTAGAGATAAATGTGTCCATTTGTCCGTGTGCTCGTCGCAAGAGCCCGACTTGTCGGTTACCAGTTTATGAGGCGCATTCGGATTGCTTGGGACAACCAAAGTTACGCTGAACCAGCACGCCAAGTTCGCTTTCGACAGATGGCGGCTGCAGTACTTGCGTTCGTACCTTTTGGGAATAGGTACTCTGGTGTTGTAGGGAGAATACGTTATATGTGCTCACATTGAACTGCAGCAAATTTCGGGTTGACCACTGACGCACCACACTGAAGCCAATTACGATTGGCTTTCGCTTGATTCCGGAGTCATAGCTAGATATATTCAGAAACAGAAGGAAATTTAAGATTATTTTCGTGCTAGGTCATTGATTAATGCCAAATCAATCGTGGCCCTAGAAGTGAGCCTTGGGACACACCAAACTCGATGGGTAGGGGATCACATATGGAACTCCGAACGCTAAACCCTAATTGTCTTTGCAGGAGCAGTGAGCTGATCCAGCTCAAAATAGAGTCACCGAGCCCTTAATAATTGCGCTTGCAATAGGGAAGCGACTGATGTAATCCATCGAATGCCAACCATAAATCTACCTAGACGACATCAACGACATCTCCAGCGTCAGCTTACTCGGTCCAACTACTCCGCGCCACTGATAAAATTGTAGTCCATAATTCTTGTCGATGAGAGCCGTGTTCCTCGGGAGCAGTACAGTTAAAATGGATAACAAACCCACGCATCTGCAAGGATGGGTTCCATGAACTTGGACCAAGCAGGGAGAAGAGACGCTGGGCGGTAGTCTGAATGCTCATTCCTGCTTCGCGTTTGTAACTCGGACTTAGTATTTCAAGCTGCTACATCGCAGGAATGTGGTTCTGGTGTAAGCCGCGCTAAAAGCACTGGGCCAGTGGGTTTAGCAGTTGTTTTGCGGCTGTTCCCAGTGCCTCTAGGCCGATCGTTTCCAGTCCGGTGGAGCTATGGTTGTGATGAAACGTGCAATTCTGCCAGATAGCTTCGGCGGTGAAACATATGTGAGATTGTCCTAGAGGCGGGAAAGCAGCCGCTGGACGATGGTCTGATGGTGGGATCCTCTGAAATGTGGGAGCATATTGCTTTCACAAAGCGATTGCTGCTTCCATATCTGTTCTACTTTAGCCATCATCCGTCCGGAGTGGTGAAATTATCTGCCTCCCCTTACGACTGCCACTGACATACTTGTACAATAGCCTGTAGTTAGCGCTGAACATTTTCACCGTATTTCGCTGATTTGCGACTTTGTCATCTCTGTGGAGTTGAGTGCAGTGGTTACGATGGGTGATGTATTTGTCCCAATTATCTGAACTTGATCATGATCTATACTCTTGCCAGGCTGCGTTGCGTACAATCATCCATATCCTCATTCTGGTCCTCAAGAAAGAAACGCTGTATGGCCGATAGCAAAGAATTGTCTCTGACGCATCCGTGACCATTTGATTGAATTTGTAGACGAAATCGAGCCAAGCGATTTCCTGGTGGCCGTAAGCCAGGAACGACCAAGTTGTTGCACTGCCGAGCTCGGCTAAGCAATCGCAGCGCTTAATGTTGTGTACCATCACGGTGCTCCGGTGGAGATAGAGCGCAAAGCAAATGAAGTGGAAACCGATGAATGCACCATCACTGCGATCCAAAGGGCAGTCTACTACCAGTGCATCAATCATATAATCCCCTTCGTTGAACACCAGATAGAACAAAGAGGGTCTATTGCTGTGCTGAAAGAAGTGTACATAACAATGTGCGTGTAAAGTGGAACACTGGTTCTGCGCTCTTGCAGATCTGCTTTGCATAGTTCGCTTATTGTAGCGGAGGCATCTGAACAGTGTACACTGCAATCTCCCATGATAATGATGTGAGTGTGTTTGCGGTGTAGACTGCATCTTACAGTTGCCGCAAGGTGGAAGTTCATTTGCTGCGTTGATTTCAGGTTGCGATTTGCCATAGAAATAATTTAAGCGGCACCAAAGAGAATCGGCGAATTTTGAGTCTGATATCTCTTGGTCCACGAATGGCTCACTCGGGTATTAATGGTATGCAAATCGATTTTTCTAATGTCTGCTGTTTGTCGTGAGTCGCTGATAAAATCAAGCACCGCGAACAAACACTTACCTGCATTGCACTAACGGCTCCTATCCGTTGGGCAGATTTTTCATCAGAGTACAACTACCTTGCACATGTATACTGCTTGCTGGCCAGAGCATGTACAGATGATGGACCAAATAACCGTTTGCATGCCGTTAGTGAGTGGGTAATCAATTGACCGACACACGCAAACGTTCGATACTGTGTTTATGATCGAATTGGTGATGGTGACTCATGTGCCACACGCCTGCTCCCCTTATTTGGCACTCCCCAGACATCGTGCTAACGTTCAATTAGATGGCGGTATCTAGTCGAACGGGATATTGTTTGAGCTTCTGGCTGGCTTGTGGTCTTTGTGGCTACCGCGACCACAGGCTCGGTTGACAGGCATGGCACTATGGTCGTCTGGCCCGCTTGAAGCTTAACGACGTCAGACGTGATGCATATGACGGGTGAACACTACTGCCTGGTAGTGCAACGTCCGTTCACTGGCGTAGTAATTCGGGTAACTTCAGGTTGCCAAATCGGTTCGTGGGGCAGTTCGATGTAAATTGCTTCGTCCTCATGGTGTTGTCGATCTGATCCGTTTCGATCGTACCTGTCTTTTGATTTCCATTGCCGCACCTAGACTCGCAGTCTCCGATCGGATAAGAATAGTTCCAACAGCGCCCTGGGATTTTGGCCGAACATCCGTTTGCCTGAACTTTCGCCTGTCGTTTCACTTGGAATGGAGAGGTAAGCGGATACAAAGTTGTCCAACTTCCTCCGAGTTAAGCGAGTGTATGTTTCTGCAATCGGTATTTTTGTTTGAACTGCTCTTTCCTCTGTATCATTTGAGGCTGGATGGTGAGAGGCGGTCTTCGCATGTCTGAAGCCATCGTTTGGAAAGCAACTCTTGAAACCGTTGACTAGTGAATACCGAGTCTTTGTCTGTCCCTCTTGTTTGTGGAATACCGAACGGGTTGAAACATGTTCGCATGCAGGAGCCAGTTGTACCGGAATTGGATGTATCAGCCAAATACCTCGATCGGTTATGAAAAGACAACGCGTCGTGGAAGATGCATCTTTCCGTTAAGCGATCCAAAGAAATCTGCACGTAAAGTGATTTACCATAGTACTTCCAGCCCAAAGTCGACTGTTGCATATGAGATCATCCACGGAAATTGTGTACACAAAAATACACGGAATTCACGTGGATGTCAGCGTTTCCACTATTGAGGAAGATGACTAGAATGGCACACCGGAGGAAATGTTGCACTTGCCATCCGACGAAGATTTTAACCTGGTGCTAGACAACCATTCGTGTAGATTGCTGGGCTCTTAGGGCCATCACAGCAACTGCCACGGACTCTCGAGAACACATACAACCATGACTGTTGTAAAAAATCCCATTGTATGAGTAATGGTCGATGCAAGCGAACACATGTTTTCAATAATTCTTCTTCAGGCTTGTACAATTATATGTGGGAAAAAGGAAATGTGTAACACAACGTAAAGCTTTATAAGACAAATTCAGTTCACAGTCACTGCGCAAGCACAATCACCATCCGTTAGGTAACAAATGCGGCGTACACTCCATTTCGTGAGCCAGATGTCGCAGTGCGGGTGGGCCAAGGCAGTTTTAACGTCTGAACGAGCTGTTTCTGAACACACAACTCCGGCTCGTACAATCGAAACGCGATGGCCTCCGCGGATTCAAGCAAACGCTTACGCACGCACTTAGATTGATTGTCTGGTACCTGATAGATCACTCTGAATGCCACAGCCAAAAATGTGGCGTGGCCAGTGTCGGCGAAATGCGTGGCTATGGATGAGCTGTTTTGTTTTCGACAAGCGTTTATGAGCCCAGCCGGATGGTGCTCCTTCACCCTTTCAGAGAGGCGCCTCGTCGTTCGGCATATGTACCAAGCCCCAGAGGAACAGGAGAAAAAATAAACACACATTGATTTGGCATGGACGGGCCTCTTGTCTTTGGGGCTAATTCTAACCATTGGGTTACCGGCAAACTGGATTTGAATTTTAGCTACTGGGAAAATGTGTCTGAGGATATGAGAAAGGCGACGCGTTATGACATCAGCAACCATTTCTCTCTTGCGTGGTAGTTAGAGAATATGGGTTTTCTCTGGGGCTGTAAGGGTTACGGGAGCCTTCATCCTTTGCCCCATGTTGGTTTTCAAGAAACTGTCAGTATAACCATTTGCTCTCAGCGTCAAACGTATGCAGTTCCTTTCTTCGGGAAACTTATCCCTCCAGCAACTTCTTTCTGCTTGACTCCTCAGACTGAGGATCAGGTTCCGTTTTAATTTCAGTGGGACGCAACTGTGAAAATTCAGATATTGTCCATTCCACGTGCGTCTCCTATGCACGTGATGTTGTAACACGCCACGCTCTAGTCGCTTCATTGTCACGTCGAGGAAGTGAAATGTACCCTTTAGCTCTAATGCGGAGGTGAACTTTAGTGCTTCGGGCGCCTAATTGAACTCACTGGTATGATCTTCGATATTTCTAGA